TGCTGTTGAAAGACTCCAGTTTATCTCAGAGCACCTCTGTATTCCCTGAGCTCTATGCGCTCCCTGATTTCTCTAAGAGGAAGCATTGTGCATATGATGCTTTCATGGAAGGCTCTTATTTACCTTTAGTAAAATCTGGCAATAGTTCAGATTTGTAATTATAACACTTTTAAAATATAGGACTAAATTGAGTTATATTTGCTTGACATATAGTGGCTCATAATGGGATAATTGATTTCCTGATGTAAACAAACTATAGACAGAAATAGGATGTTAAGTAACTGATAAGATCTAATTATGGAGGTTTCAGAGCTGCCAGACAGATCCAAGCTTGGTCACCTTCTGCTCCGTGATTATTAGACAGCAGCATATTCCAGTAATTCCATAGAGCCACAGTATTGTGCTTGGACTGAGTTATTGTGTCCTGTTGCAGCTGGGATGTACCCTGTGCTTTCCCACAATTCCCACTGCTTCCAAAGGTGATTTCCAAAGGAAAATTAAACCAGGATACAATGAGATTGTCCAACAAGCCCTGGTGCATCTTGGAGGGATTTCTCAGCCTGTGCATGAGATGTGTTCAGCTGCTTCTGCAGTGCAGTGTCATATGGTACCTCGGTGGCCTGAGCCAGTGGAAAGCTGAGCTCCTCAAACATGACCTGCTCTTGGCTGGGTCAACTCATGCCAAGAAATAGGGGGAATGGGGCCTGGAGCAACCTGGGCTAGTGGAAGATGTCCCTGTCTGTGGCAGGGGGTGGAACAAGATGAGCTTTGACATGCCTCCAACCCAAACCATGCTGTGATTCTATGACAAGGGCTTGATCAGGGCAACTTCTCAACTAAAGGAAAATAAGTTCACTTGAAAGAGGGATAATGTGCTTAAGAATGGATAAATCATAGAATGTTAAGTGGTTGGAATGGACCTTGAAGATCGTCTAGTCCCAACCCCCTGCCCTGGGCAGGGACACCTTCCACCACACCAGGGTGATCAAAGCTTTATCCAACTTGGCTTTGAACACTGCCAGGCTTGAGTCATCCACAGCCTCTCTGAGCAACCTGTACCAGTGTCTCACGACCCTCACAGTAGAGAATTTATTCCTAATATGTAATCTAAGGTTCCCCTCTTTCAATTTATCCCCATCGCTCCATATCTTATCACTCCAGTTCCTAACCAAGAGTCCCTCTCCAGCTTCCCTGTAGCCCCTTCAGATCCTGGAAGGTTCTATGAGGTCTCCACACAACCTCCTCTCTATACAGAGTTCCTTTTACTCACTCCTGAAACAGCTGCTTGTGGCCATGGCAGATAAGAGCATGCATTAGAAAGTCCTTTGGTCTGACTGAGTTTTCAGTTCCTATTTTTTATTACCAGTTCTGTGTTTTTCACCAGGAAAAATAAATCATAGGAAACACAGTTTGGACTCCAAGAGAAATATATTTTTTTGGACAGTAAAAACAGAACAATCTTCCTCTGTTGCTGAAAGGAAGAAAATGTAAACCATGCTACACATCAGCAGATATTATATCTCTCTCTGAAGAGAATGTAAGACTTGATGATTTTGAAACAGGTGTGTGTGCTGTGACCCACATGTAGGAGAAACATCTACAGTGATATCACCAGATGTTATAAGGATCATGCTGTGCAAGAATTGAGAGCCAGAGGAAACATCTTCCAGAAGGGATTCATGTTTCTTATGTTAATTCTCTCTCAACATCTTGGAAAAGTGAAGGAGGTGCACTAACTGGCTCGATTTGTAGAGCACTGAAGCATTAATGCTGTCCTGTGTTCATGTGGTGGTGGGAAAAGCCCAATCGTGTTCATATTCTTACCTTTGCAGTATATTTATTAAGGAAATCCAGCCTTAGTTCCTATTTTCCTTTTTTTTCTGTCTTCCAGATACTGACTTTGTCTTTTGTTGCCTCTTTCAGAGAACTGAAACACACCCCAGTTCCCTGTCCCTGCTGTGGGGTCCTGGTTCATCCTTGATGCCAGCTGCCTAACCATAGAATCCCAGAATGGGTTGAGTTGGAAGGGACCTTAAAGATCATCCAGTTCTACCACCTGCCATGGGCAGGGACACCTTCCACTAGCCCAGGCTGCTCCAAGCCCCATCCGGCCTCATCTGGAGCACTTCAGGGATGGAGCAGCTACAGCTTCTCTGGGCAACCTGTGCCAGTGCCTCACCACCCTCACAGCCAAGAATTCCTTCCCAATATCCCATCTAACCTCTGGCAGTGGAAAGCCATTCCCCCTTGTCCTGTCCCTCCAGGCCCTTGTCCAAAGCCTGTTTTCAGCTCTCTTGGAGCTCCTTTAGGCACTGGAAGGGGCTCTAAGTTCTCCCCAGAGCCTTCTCTTCTCCAGGCTGAACACCCTCACCTCTCCCAGCTGTAGCAGAGGTGCTCCAACCCTCAGAGCAAGTCCTTCTCCACAGATCATTTTCTTCCTCACATCCTTGCCTGAAGTGTAATGCTCTGGTTTTCTGGTCACACCTCCAAGGAGTTTGTCAGTTCTAAGCAAACACCAGGGAATATTCTCTCTTCAGGATTTAAGTCTCAGCAGGGAAGCTATGAACTGAAAATATTCCCCTAAATCTGTTGTAAAATAAGGTGATAAACACAGAAATAACCATAATTCCAGGACCTTTTAAAATAAAAATGTCAATATTCAATTTTGCTTGTCTCATGGAATATCATGGATATTGTGTATTAAGTACTGCCGATCTGATTTGATAGAATTGTGCAGCAGCTTTGTGGGAATGTCGATGGGCAGTTGCAGAGCTCTGTGGAGGACAGAGCTAGATGAACACAGA